CTGTTTTACTAAGTCATTATTTCTATGTCTTGTAGAGAAATAGGTGTTTCTATCGGTTCAGGTATAGAAGACAAACACCCGGTGTAAGCAATTGAGCATTCATAATCCTGAATTTTAAACCCACAGAATATTTATACTTTGTATTAGTATTTGTGAATATGTTTTTACAAATTGTGAGCATTTTCTGTTACATAATTTTATTGTTTTGTGCATTCTGCTGACTTTTAAAAAATATATTTTTATAAAAATATTGTCTTTTGAACATATTTCTCAATGATTGTTTTTAATATAAATTGCATGAAACACAAACACCACCCATGATAAAAAAATGAATAATTTATTATTCATTTTAAACTTATTTGTTTACCGTATTTAATTATGCTGAGTTAGTATATCACTTTTTATCAAGTGTGCTTTAAATCTTTCACTACACCATTGATATTCAGTTACACCTATTTAAAGGTATGTCGTACAAAAAATATTTATGGTTTTATTATTTCTGCACGTAACTAAGATTTCCGAAATACTGTACACATGCTGTCTCATTCCTGCGTAGAAACGGCTGTGATCTCCTCATCTCATTTCAACAGAAAACCAGAAAATCCTGACATTGTACTTCAACTTGTACTGTCAGTCTCAGTAAGTAGACCCTGCAGCACTCTGGGTGCCAGCTAGCTCTCGAACAAGCGCGCTGTAGAGACAGAAATTACACTTTGCTTGCATTATGCACGAAATAGCGAGGCTGCATGCTCCCGTATGGTCTAGCGGTTAGTATTCCTCGATTTCACCAGGTTGACCCGGGTAATACTTTCGGTATTTACAATTTATTTCTCGTATTGCCTGCTGCCTCTTGGTGTTTTGCCAGTATCGGACACAGAAAACACAGTGAGGACCTTCCCATGTTATATGCGTATCTGTTACTGTGTGAAAGAATTAAGCACTTTTAATTATAATAATAATTGCTTACACTTATATAGCGCTTTTCTGGACACTCCACTCAAAGCGCTTTACAGGTAATGGGGACTCCCCTCCACCACCATCAATGTGCAGCATCCACCTGGATGATGCAACGGCAGCCATAGTGCACCAGAACGCTCACCACACATCAGCTATCAGTGGGGGAGGAGAGCAGAGTAATGAAGCCAATTTATAGAAGGGGATTGTTAAGAGGCCATGATTGATAAAGGCCGAAGGGAAATTTGACCAGGACGCCGGGGTACACCCTTATCTTTTGATTACAACCATTAATTTCAATGACTACTGACATTTGCTCTGTTTTGAATAGTCAACACACCACACCGAGAGAGACACTAGAATTCTGATCACCACATAATTATAAGCCAGCTACCTCTTCAAAGTGACGACAGCAGAGCCACTCAGGCGTCAGCGTCTGACTAACTCAATCGGTAGAGCATGCAACTCTTAATTTCAGCGTCATGGTTTCCAGCCATGTCATTCTCTTACACAAGGTCCCACTCATTTTTAATCACCTTAATGGTACCTAGCACTAAATGGCAATGCATGTATTTGGTCCAGCTAAAGATTATCAAGAAGCAAATCTCTTTCCCTGCTTTAGTAGATGAATCAAGGACTCTGCTCTCAACGTATTTTCACCAGACACTAGGGCAGATAAACGCAGTTAATACGTGCCACATTATAGTATGAAATTGCTTGAGCAAAACATTGTTCATTATCGCAACCATTATTGGTAGCTTAGTTCCTCTCTATTTTTTATACAGTAGTTTCTGAGGTGAATGTGATAACCACCGCGCTACGGAAACGACAGTACATCCTACTCTCAGAGCAGGATTGGAGACTCCACATTCTACAGCTCTCTAGCAATAGAGGAGTTCTGACTAGAGAAATGGGGATAACCTCCTCTTCAGGATGTGGAAACATATTTACCGAGACGAGTCCTTTTTTCGAAGGTCAACACTGTCTGCCAGTCACAACTCCCCTCCTCGCACAATGTATCTCTCTTAACACACCAAAGCGATCGCTATTATTACATGTTTTTGCACTCTGCATGCTGTTTTACTTCTGCACTGAGCTGCTCTTTTGAAATCCAAAAGGCAACATAGACACGCTCCTATACCAGGAGTTGTACCCAGACCACCTGGGTGATTTAGAGATTACAAATGATTTAAAAAGACATGAAAAGCCCCCCCACACCACCGTCGGGGACTCGAACAGGGACCCAGCCTCTTGAGCCAAAGGGAAATCTCCCATCAACCCTGCGGCTGCGGTCCTTGCTATTCACAGGGAAGGGCGGTGACGTCACCGCTCTGGTAAACCAGCTCAGCTCTCGCAAGCAATAGAGGCCGTATGCGTTACAATATGTAACAAAATGTAAAAAAAAAAACACCTTAACAATATTGCTGACAGTTTTTGAAAAGGAGCTCTGCAATATTCACAAATACTACGACAAAGGATATACTGCATGGGTTTAAAATTCAGAATTATGAATGGTCAATTGTTTACAATTGAAATTTTTATGGTTCGTATGATTTTACAATATGTAAAAAACAATATGTAAAACAAAAACAGAACAGCTAAATAAGAAAGCCTTAGAGCCACAGAGAAAAACAAATTGCGTTTGAAGTCATTTTAAAGACACATTGCACCATAAACGCAAAAGTTTGTCTTCTTTGTGGCGCTTACGTTTTGTTGCTTTAGCGAATTTAATGCAGTTTATTTCCAACACATGACGTAAAGAGCTTGTGTATTTATGACAAAAAGCAGTTCAACAATTTTCATCGATCATATTTCAACTGTTAAAAAGTAAACAAGAGATCCTGTGTCCAAAATCCTGAGGTGCCTTTCTTCCTGTCTTGTCATACAGAATGTATCATTAAGGACAATCACAAATGGCTTGATTTTGTTAAATGGAAGTATTTCTTTCCTTTCTTGGAACAACGTGTTTTTTGAGAAATTCATACAATTTGCGAAATATGAAATACAAATCTATCTTGTGGTGCAGAATAAATACTGCCAGCTGGAAAGAATATGACAGCATTTTTTTTCTTTAACCAAAAACCTGCATAGGGAGACGTTTCGTTGTGGAAGGGAAAAACAATAAATCTGTTCCATTTCACAAAATTCACACTTACGAACGGTGCAAGTCGCAGGTGATTCACTCCTCTTGACTAGGTGGCGCTAGGAGGTGCAGTGAAGTTTATATCCGGCTGCAGAAACTCCTCTTTCTCAGCTCCGCTTCTAGATTATTTTGTTTTTGTTTTGTTTTTTTTAATTTTTATTAAACATAAAGAAATTTACAAATACAAATACAACAAGAGGATCAGAGTCATGTACAAGAGAAAAATAATGTAGCAGAAAAAAAATATTTAACTATCAGAGGTAATTAAATAATTATGTGATCAAATTGTATATTTTAAACGTATCATATTTTCCTTGTTTTAATATTTCTCAATTATTTATAAACTTTAGTTTCAATATGCATGCGTTCCCTGTAAAAACTAAAATTCAGCTCACAGTTTTATACAAAAAAAATGTTTTTCTTTTAACAACATTTCGAGTACCTCTGACATTCATGAAAAAGATATACACAAAAGCAAATAACTAACTCTAAGACTGTCTAAACTATTGAGTTTTTCAAAGAACTAGAACTATAACAGTCCTTAACACTTAACTACAGCATTCCAAACTAACACTAAATAAACACTAGTATATACTGGTATAACAAATAAAACCAAACAATCATTAACTGAGCAGTCACTGGGAGCGAATCTCCTTCCCGTCCACAAAGGCCCTCGCTCCCACAAAGTAGGCTCTTCTCCCCTCTCTTCTGGCAGCTTCAACCTGGGGCCACAGCTGGTTCCTGGT